ATAAAGTGGATTACAAAGCTATTTGGCTGGCCACTGCATGCAGAGCCAAACTGTTATAACAGGATTCAAATCCCATCCCTAACTCAGAGCAGATTCGCTTGTTGCTTTGAAAAGTAGCTAGAAGACAGCTTGGCCCCATAAACCATGCTACAACCCTTTTTAAATATAGGATTGAACTATTTATGCCCTCCTTTAAGTATGCTTCTTTTTGTAATTCAGCGAGTTCCTTGAAGTCCTACAGAGATGGAGACGGGTGGTTTTTATAAGAACACAGTAAACACACTTTTTTACTCTTTACGAGAACATTTTTCACACTCTCCAAAGAGTTAAAGTTGTGTGTAAAAAGCTAGTAACTCCTTGAATGAAGAAGATCTGTTTTAGCCAGCCATACACAGCACCTCACAAGGCATCAACACCCGGCTGGGCTGTGATTGCACTGCAGTCCCCTGCCATGCATGCCTGGTTTTTGGGGCAGGGACCGATGCCAGCTAAAGAGTGAGGACACAGCCACCCACCTTCACCTTCTCCCGGGGGTGCAATTAGCAGTGCTGGGGGGAATTGCTATTAACAGGGGGGAAATGCAGAGGAATTCACTGAGCCTCATCTCCGCAGGGACCAGCAAACCCTGCTTGTTTCTTCCGTGCACACGGAACACCTTAAAACTTTCCCTGCACGCTGGGGCCTGCAGCCAGCAGCATGAGCGGTGCTCCTCTAATTAATATGTCCTTGGAGGGAGCAGCCACTTAGCTGGGGAGCTCCATTGTCTGGTCGTGCCTCTCCAAGGGGAGATGTCAGGGTGACTGTACGCTTGAAGGAAGACAGGTTACAAGGTAATGCATATAATACGATAGAGAATGAAGGTGACCTATAGAAGTGCAGTAAATATGTGATTTTCTCTGCTCGGCAAGTGAATTTTGATCCCAGCGTAGCACCACATCATAAGGTGCTGCTGCCACACTTGGGAAAGCTCATGGGAGGACAAAGAGCAGAAAGCGGCAAGAAGGACAAAGAGGCTTCAAACCCACCCCACCCCCCACCCCCCTATTCATACCCCTGCCAAACAGGCAAAACAGGGGGTGATGGTTGCAAAATTGTCTTTCCTTGTTTAGAGCTGCCTGTGTCAGTCTGTTGTACAAAGGGAAAATAGCAGCAGATCAATAGAGGTGTCTGGGCTGACACTCTTACCGTCTTCTCCTTTAAGGTACGCTGAATCGCTCATCAGCCTTCCCAGTTAATGAGCCTTTCAGTGGGAAGAAAGACACAGGTTTCTTTCTAAGCATGTGCTTCTCTGCCAACCTGTGGACCTCTCCTAAAGGAAGAAGTAAGTGATGGGCTCTGGTCACTGTCAGAGGTCTGGGCTGTGACTGCGGTGACAGCGTGCTGACACAACTTTACTAGACGCCCCCCTTGGTCTAGCTATGGGCCTGTGACAGTAGAAGCTGGTGCAACCTTTCCCTGGAGGGTACCAGCACTCCCCTGTCCTCTGCCACTCACTGGGTGCTTTATGTGATGCCATGTGTCAGAGGACACACATATGTGATCACCAGCTGTGGGTCCTTGGAGGGGGCTGGATCCCACCACCATCCTTGAGCACTGCCCTGGATGGAAGGGGTGAGAATGGAGGTCCTGCTGCAGTTTGACTTTAATGGAGTTATGCGTGTTGGCACTGACTGAGGACCTGACCTGTGCGAGGGATGTCAACATGCATAATCACACCAGAATATGATGCCTGCCATTTATCATTTGCACCAGCCAGCCAGGAGCCCCCTTGCCCAGGTGCTGTGGAGATACGTAATAAAATAATGCCTTTGCAAAGAGCTTACAATTTTGGAGTAAGCACAAATGTTTAAGCCTTGAAGGGAAGGGAGAGAAATGACATTGCTCCTAGCCCTTGTTTCCTAGCAGGCGTGTATTCATCAACCGCGAACCTTAATACAGTTTTCACTCCACTTGGCAATTCTTAAGATAGATTTGGGGGCTGTCAACAAAATGTTACAGTTGAAATGACCCAGCTAGAAATAATAGACTATGAAACATCAAAGTAGTCATAATCCTGTAAACCACCACAGAGGAATATGTTCGGCCCTTTCATTTTTAATGGTCTCTCAGGTGTCATTTGGAATACGGGACAGTTTCAGGGGGGATTTCCCTGTCCCAGCTTCAGAAGTCTGCACCAGGTTGCTGGCGGGAGCAACAACAACCTCCCTGTGCATCTCCAGGGGAAAAACGGGCACCCCGAGAAGCAGGTTCATCTGGCTTGTCTTTGACACCAGTTTTTGGACAAGGTGCCTTGCCTGCTGGAGGTGACCACTTCTCCACCGCCAGGTAAGAGCAGGTGGGGCAAGGTGTCTTGCTCAGAGACAGCTGGTGTTGGCCTGCAGGCTCCTACCACTCGCTGGTGCTGGCGGGGGGGCGCCGGTGGTGCCGTGCTGGGCAC